GAGAGAGAGAGAGAGAGAGAGAGAGAGAGAGGAAATATAAAATTGCATGGGGAGAGGGATATCCTGTATTTACAAGATGATATAAACCAACTGTACTTAAAAGAAAAGGCTCCTTGATACCTTTCCAGATAGCATACTTGGATTCCCTATCCATAATGGTAGCATACATTTGCATCAAGATTCACGAATGCTGTATTTTATGGAAGCCTGAAAGCCCTCCTTGGACTTTATGGCCATTTTTCTGTTACTCCCAAGTCATCCTATTTCCTTACTTAGTCAGAAGTTACTTCCCATCTGTGATACATACTAGACTATGTGTCCCTTGGGGGACAAAATTACCTTCCTCTTATCTGGTTCATCTTTGTGTTCACAATATCTAGTACAGAGTAGAATTTTTTTTTTTAATAACTGGTAATGAATAAATGCTGTAAACTGAGTGAGCTTTTTGAAATCATAAATTGGCAGATTGATTTGAAGTGTAAAGTAATGTTGCTGTTTCAGGTGGTAAATAAAAGGATGGAGAATAGATAAGGAGCATCGTCTGTAATAATTATAATCTATGGTTCCAGTATTAGTAAATAAAAGTCCTGTCACCCAGCTTAATGTGAATTTCACAGAAACAACAAATAAATTTTTAGTATAAGTTTGTCCCAAATATTGCATAGGATGTATTTATACTGAAAGCATTGTTATTTTCCTCTAGATATAAATGGAAGTCGTAGGCTTTACTGACAAGTTATTCTCTTTTTTGAGATTTTTTGATATACTTATCTTTGAAACAAAATGAAAGTTCAGATAGCTCATATAAAAAATTCCTGTATGCACAGAATTTGTAAATTATTTTAGGTAGTTGTTAGTAATATAATTCTTAACATTGGATTTGTTAGAGAAGGAATAAATATACTTTTGGAGGTTATGAAAGTAAAAGAAGTTAAATTATATATGCATATATATTCTAAGTGTATTCCTAGAATTAAAAGCTAGAGGTAAACGTAGGAGTGATTGAATCCAAACCACTAATTTTATGAAAATTAGGTAGGAATATCATCTAGGATATAGTATTAATTGTATGAGTAGGGCAGAGAAAGAAGCTAATTGGTGACAAGGGTACAGTGACTAATGTAAATTATCATCAAGTAATTGCATGTATATTAAGTGATAGTGTATGTGTAATTATATGCACAAGTAAGTTATATATAGTGAACTATAATTAGGCTTTTTAAAATACAAAGGCCCATTATTTTGCTATAAATAATTTTTCACCAAGTAATATACTACACAGATCAAAGAAAAATAAGTGAATATTCTATTTTGTTTATTAGTTCTTAAAGCAATAACTAAATTATCAACTGACCTAGTCTTAGCTTACTGAAATGATGACTGATATTCTTTGATGCACTAATTATGTAACAATGGAATCAGCTGCATTTTTTTTTATTACAAAAGTTTATTTTTACATCATTTTGTACATTTTTTTTCCATCCCGATTGTAATCCCCGCAGGTTACCCATCACCAAATCACCCGTGTGCCATCACCATAATCCCGTGCATTTCTCTCAACCCCCACCCCGTTTTTGATCCCATTCTCCACTCCATCCCCACAAAATGTCTCTG